AAATCAGTAATGGATTGTTGCTTGACTCTGATTGTCCTCTACTGTGGTAAGGTCGAGTTTATTTTTAAATAATGTAACAACAGTTGGTTTTCAGTTCAAACACGTCATTGTAAGCTTCTTGAGTGATGCAGGTAAAAAAAGAGTAAATTCACTGGGGACGGAGGTTTATCCATCATCAATGATCAAAGGAATAATTTACTATGATCACCACTTGCAATTATAATATAGTTGGATATTTAAATTAGAATGAAAAACCCTTTTGTTAATTATCTGCAACCCTCAGGAGTTAACTTCATCTCCTGCTCTCACTTACCACCACTACGTAAGTACTACTATGTTAACACATTGATGACCTGGGCTGGAGCTCAGCGTTACTGCAGAGAGGAATACACCGACCTGGCGACCTTCGAAAGCACGAATGATGTCAGCAGGCTGCCACCTGACACCAAACCATCTAGATGGATCGGACTGAGTGACGACCCTAAATCGTGGAGGGGCACCATGGGTAATGACCCCAACTCCTGGAGATGGTCATCGACTGGTGAAACCAGTAGAACCGGTTACCAGAACTGGGCGGCGGGGAAACCAGCCAATGCCCTGCAGACCTGTGCTGTGATGCTCGCTGATGGACGATGGAATGAATATTCCTGTAAATCAGCTTTACATTTTATTTGTTACACTGGTAAGATATTGTTTGAGTTTATTCATTTTATTCACTGAATGCATGTGTACACTAACATCAATGCATATATATATAATATTGATTTTTATTATAATTACATTGTTCCTCACCATCGGAGTCAATGAAAAAATGTGTTAATCGTTACACTGGATTCCCTTGTGTCTGTTGCAGAGACGAACCAAGCTGAGAAAACCTTTGTGTTAATACAACTTCCAAAAAGCTGGTCTGCTGCCCGCGACTACTGCAGAGAACACTACACAGATTTAGCCAAGATTGAGAATGATGAGGAACAGAATGAGGTCAATTCTGCAAAACCAAGCAATGGCATAGTTTGGATCGGTCTGTACCGAGTGCCGTGGACTTGGTCCGACAAGTCACAAAGCTCCTTCAGGTTCTGGGATAGTGCTCAGCCAGATATGGTCTACGACAAGGCAATCTGTGGAGCTATGAATCCATCACATCGATTTCATGACGGCGACTGCTCTGTACAATTACCTTTCGCCTGCCATCAAGGTGATTGTGAACAAGTAATACATGTGTTCTACATGCATCATATTTACAGTAAAGGTGTCACTGTCTAAAGAGTGCATGTTTATTTTACGGTTCAGTTATCACATTGAAGACCACGCTCAAGATGAAGTTTGAGACTGACGCTGATATCACAGATCCAGCTCTTAACACCCAGATCCTGCAGCAGGTACCACTCTCTGTTTTTTATTTTATGAGGTCAAAGTTGATGCAGAAAATGACAGAAAACTACTGTTTTTTTCCCTCTCTTCAGCTGAGTGCAGCGCTGAACCGTCAGGGATTCACTGACTTCAAGCTGAGATGGAAGATTCCGCCCAAAAAGCAGGAGAAGACCACGGAAACTCAATGTGTAATAAATGGATGATATATTTATTTAACTGCAATTCTTCTAACTTATTATAAGGCTTTGTGTTGTCATCTATGTTTTTTGTGAATTAAAATTAGACTTCAGCTATTAGATGATTTGTATTTTTGGGGTTTGCATGCTTGTTAAATTGCTGTCCTGGTTACCAGGGAAACTAAAGAGCAACTGGTCTGTCTGATTTAAAAAGTCATTTCAAAAAGAAATTACTTTGTTTTAATTGAAAAAAAGTTTTGAAAAATGAATTAACTTTTTAAATACTATTTAAAAATGTTTTATTGACACCTTCCTTTTTTACACAGTGACCAGAGGACTTGACGTTACTACTGTCATCACAGGCTTTGTTTAGAATAACTTTTTCTTTATGCAGGTTTTAAGACATATAAAGATGTTTAACTGTGAAAAATAATGTGTTTTTTAAAAACTTAAAATAACCTCAACTTATTCACCCAATTATCGTTTCATTAAAAAGTTAAAAGACAAGTTGTCTCCCTCTTCAGTGAGAAGTGCATTGTGGGTGTTTCTCTGAAGGTCTCATGTTTCCATTTTACACTTGTGTGTAAAATACACTTTGAACGTAACCGGCTTCCGTACTACTTGTAATCCAACAGTCACACACATATACGGCCAACAGCCATATTCCTGATGGCTAAATCCTCCATCACACTCAGCTGTAACTCTTTGCTTGTGTGATGAGTCCTCTTTTTATTAAGTTGACGATTGAACTTTAAGCAAATTCTGGAAACTGTTTTGCAGAAAAAAAACCTTGGCTATGCAAAGTGTAGTGTCATCTGAAGTTGTAAATAAATAAATAAATATATAGCACGGCCATCGTTCCGTCAGACACACACAAACACACACGTACACTTCCTAGATATATTTACCCTCACTGGTTTGACAAAGAAATCACTTCCAAAGATTGACTTGGCCGTGTCTTTACTTCGGGTGACAGTAATCCACCTCTTTGTTTTGTCAAACAAATTGATGAATTCAAATCTTGTGACCTTGTTTATTCTCTGAGGTGACAACAACAAACAGCATGATGAGTCCTTTTTCATTTAATGCACAATTTTTATTATTTCAGATTTGACACACATTTGTCTTGAGTCCTCTAAAGTTTTTTTGTGGGATGCAAATAATAAAAAGATAATATTATGATATTTAATAAGTATTCATTATAATTTGAGAAACACCCTTTCCTGTTTAAGTGTAACAATGGCGTCCATAAAGAAACGTTAATCAGACTCCTCTGGGATTAACTTAATGTGTACAGTGTGTGGTTACAACACTGTGGTGGCGGGCGTGGTTTTGGGTCGTGTGCAGAGGGGGGGAGAGAGGGAAAGGGGGAGTGGCTCAGGCAACGGTGCCAGGTGGAGGCAATTGGCCTCAGCTGAGCTGAATGCTACTGATGGTGCTGGTGTTGTTATTTTAAAATGCAGAAAGGGCGATTGGGAGCGAGACGCCAGCAGCTCTCGCTGCATTTTCAACAGAGTAAAGTCAATAAAAAGGGTTTCCTACCGAACCTGCTGTGTCTTGCCTACTCTGTTACCTTGAGAGAACATACGCCGTGACAAACACATTCACACCCCAAAGTGTAAAATACCTGTTTGCCCAGTGCTCCTCAACTTCATGCTCGCTGTGGTGAAGCTGCCACATCTGAGCCGTCAAAGTAAGCCGGTTTGATTTGCATATGGAAATGTTGTCAAGCACTGTAAATCACTCAAGAGGGTTTATCCAGGTTGTCTTTGCCTGAATTACTGGAGGATCAACAGACATGGAGCTCAAATGTCAACCGTAGACAAACATTTAACAGCTGGATTTGAGATTTGTGAGTATAACTTTCCACATCACTGCAACAATCAACAAGGACTGCAGGTGAATATTTGTTAATGTAAGAGCTGTGTCTTGACCCGGCTCTGAAACCGTAGCCAATGGTGAAGGAGACACGCAGGTTATTTAAGAGAAAATCTTTTCATTTTTTTAGACTTTATTGCACCTGAAATATACCAACGTCCTGATTACCTGGTATCACCAAATACAGTATAAGACACTCACTGCCCTTTATCTGACCAGAGTAAATGTAACACGGGGAGCCTGGGAAAGACTCTCTTCTCATCATTATTGTTGCACCTGCTGGGACTGTTCTGTATCTTTTTATTTAAAGGTCTCAATCTTCTAGAGGTTTAAAAGTTCATTCATAGGTTAATTACCTGTGTTCTTCTTATTTGCAGTGAAAATCAGCAATGGATTGTTGCTTGAATCTGATTGTCCTCTTCTGTGGTAAGGTCGAGATTATTTTTAAATAATGTAACAACGGTTGGTTTTCAGTTAGTCATTGTAAGCTTGTTGAGTGATGCAGGTAAATTCACTGGGGAAAACTTCCTCACATTTAAGTTTTTATATGTAAAAAGTGACTGTCGAATAACACTCATGGCAAATAAATAAACAGCTTTATTTATCAAGCTAGGTACAATCTGCACAAGTTGGATTTAATGCTACTGTATGATTATGGGGATGATTTCATACTTTGTAAATCACTAAACACTAACCGTGCCGTCTCTCACAACCCTCAGGAGTTAACTTCATCTCCTGCTCTCACTTACCACCACTACGTAAGTACTACTATGTTGACACATTGATGACCTGGGCTGGAGCTCAGCGTTACTGCAGAGAGGAATACACCGACCTGGCGACCTTCGAAAGCACGGATGATGTCAGCAGGCTGCCACCTGACAGCAAACTATACAGATGGATCGGACTGAGTGACGACCCTAAATCGTGGAGGGGCACCATGGGTAATGACCCCAACTCCTGGAGATGGTCATCGACTGGTGAAACCAGTAGAACTGGTTACCAGAACTGGGCGGTGGGGAAACCAACCAATCCCCTGCAGACCTGTGCTGTGATGCTCGCTGATGGACGATGGAATGAATATTCCTGTGAATCAGCTTTATATTTTATTTGTTACACTGGTAAGACATTTTTTGAGTTTTTTCATTTTATACACTGAATGCATTTGTCATCTAACAAAATATCATGAAACCGTTGTAGCTTCTGCTCTCTTTGTGAATTTACCTGCTGAACGCTGAACAAGTTTAAAACACAGATATAAATATATATATATATAAGAGAGAGAGAGAGAGAGAGAGCGCGCGCGCAACTGAAATTATTTTTTAAATAATAATAAAACTGTCCTCATTTTCGACAATGAATGATTTTGTTGATTGTTACACTGGATTCCCTTCTGTCTGTTGCAGAGACGTACCAAGCAACGAAAAGCTTTGTGTTAATACAACTTTCAAAAAGCTGGTCTGCTGCCCGCGACTACTGCAGACAACACTACACAGATTTAGCCAAGATTGAGAATGATGAGGAACAGAATGAGGTCAATTCCGCAAATCCAAGCCATGGCATAGTTTGGATTGGTCTGTACCGAGTATCGTGGACTTGGTCCGACAAGTCACAAAGCTCCTTTAGAGTCTGGGCTAGTAATGAGCCAAATAATTACGACAACGAGGAATTCTGTGGAGCTATGACATCATCACATCAATGGAATGACATTGGCTGCTCTTACCTATTCCCTTTTGTCTGCCATCAAGGTGATTTTCGGCGAGAAATGAATGTCTCCTGTACATGCATCATATTTACAGTAAAGGTGTCACTGTTTAAAGAGTGCATGTTTATTTTACGGTTCAGTTACCACATTGAAGACCACGCTCAAGATGAAGTTTGAGACTGATGCTGATATCACAGATCCAGCTCTTAACGCCAAGATCCTGCAGCAGGTACAACTCTCTGTTGTTTAATTTATGAGGTCAAAGATGATGCAGAAAATGACAGAAAACTACATTTTTTCCCTCTTCAGCTGAGTGCAGCGCTGACACGTCAGGGATTCACTGACTTCAAGCTGAGATGGAAGATTCCGCCCAAAAAGCAGGAGAAGACCACGGAAACTCAATGTGTCATAAATGAATGATATATTTATTTAACTGCATTCCTACTAGCTTATAATAGTCTTGTTATTATCTATGTTATTTGTGAATAAAAACAGACCTCAGCTATTAGATGATTTGCAACTGGTCTGTCTGATTTAAAAAGTCATTTAAAAAAACTCTTCTCCATTATCATTCTAAATACTATTATAAATGTTTTATTGACACCTTACTTTGTTACACAGTGACTAAAGGACTTGATGTTACTGCTGTCATCAAAGGCTTTTAACTGTGAAATAAAAAATTTGTCTGGTTTTTCAAAACTTAAAACAACTTCTACTTCTTCTTCCTCTTTGGAAATCCGATAATCAATGAATAAGCAATTGTCTTTTCATTAAAAAGTTCAAAGACAAGGTGTCTCCCTCTTCAGTGAGAAGTGCATTGTGGGTGTTTATTCTCTGAAGGTCTCATGTTTCCATTTTACACTTTTGTGTAAAATACACTTTGAACGTAACCGGCTTCCGTACTACTTGTAATCCAACAATCACACACATATACGGCCAACAGCCATATTCCTGATGGCTAAATCCTCCATCACACTCAGCTGTAACTCTTTGCTTGTGTGATGAGTCCTCTTTTTATTAAGTTGACGATTGAACTTTAAGCAAATTCTGGAAACTGTTTTGCAGAAAAAAAAACTTGGCTATGCAAAGTGTAGTGTCATCTGAAGTTGTAAATAAATAAATATATATATAGCACGGCCATCGTTCCGTCAGACACACACAAACACACACGTACACTTCCTAGATATATTTACCCTCACTGGTTTGACAAAGAAATCACTTCCAAAGATTGACTTGGCCGTGTCTTTACTTCGGGTGTGACAGTAATCCACCTCTTTGTTTTGTCAAACAAATTGATGAATTCAAATCTTGTGACCTTGTGTATTCTCCAAGTTGTCAACAACAAACAGCATGACAAGGCCTTTATCATTTAATGCACAGTTGTTATTATTTCAGATTTGACAAATATGTCTTGAGTCCCCTCAATTCTTTTAACTGCAATTCATCACTTTGTCACTTGTCACTTTGTCTCTTGTCTGTTGCTTGTTCGTTAGTGCACTTTATGCTTAATATTTTTCTTTTTAACTTTTTAATATTTAACATTTTTTAACTTTATTCCCTTGTTTTATACTAACCCATAGCCTTAGCCTTATTCTACTAACCCATTGCATTAGCATTTCATTCCACTTTATTTTATTACTTGTGCACTGTTGTGTTGTCTTGTCTGTCTACTGTCGCGCACTAATCGCCAAGACAAATTCCTTGTATGTTTGACATATTTTGGCTAATAAATGTTTCCTGATTCCTGTTTCCTGATTCCTTTGTAGGATACGAATAAGAAAAACATAATATTATGCTTTTTAAAAAGTATTTGTTAAAATGTGAGAAACACCATTTCCAAGTGTAAAAAATTTGTCTATAAAGAAACGTTAATCGAAGTTTGTTGTGGAAGAACTACACACTGCAAACTTACTTTACCAAAACAGATAATTAATAAAACTTACATAAAGGCTGTAGACTTTATTAAGCTAAGAGGAGGATGATGACTTTACAGGATATCTATGATGCAACCAGCATCCAATGGGTTAACTTGATCATATCGATGTTTTGCATATGGAAAGATTGTCAAACACTTTAAATGACTCAAGAGGGTTTATCCAGGTTGTCTTTGTCGGAATTACTGGAGGATCAACACCATGGAGCTCGAATGTCAACCGTAGAATAGATTTCAGCAGCTGGATTTGAGATTTGTGAGTATTTCCACATCACTGCAACAATCAACAAGGACTGCAGGTGAATAATTGTTAATGTAAGAGCTGTTTCTTGACCCAACTCTGAAACCGTAGCCAATGGTGAAGGAGACACGCAGGATATTTAAGAGAATTTTCTTTCATTTTTTTAGACTTTATTGCACCTGAAATATACCAAAGTCCTGATTACCTGGCATCACCAAATACAGTATAAGACACTCACAGGAATACAAAGTACACCTCCAATATATATTTATGACCAATTTGATGTGTTTTCATTTAATTCTCTAATTAGAGCCCATCTCCCTCGTTGTCTGATCATTATTGTTGCACCTGTTGGGACTTTTTATATAAAAGATCAGCCAGAGATCTAAAAGTTCATTTTCATTATTTACATTTTGTCTTCTTATTTGCAGTGAAAATCAGTAATGGATTGTTGCTTGACTCTGATTTTCCTCTACTGTGGTAAGGTCGAGTTTATTTTTAAGTAATGTAACAACAGTTGGTTTTCAGTTGAAACACGTCATTGTAAGCTTCTTGAGTGATGCAGGTAAAAAAAAGAGTAAATTCACTGGGGACGGAGGTTTATCCATCATCAATGATCAAAGGAATAATTTACTATGATCACCACTTGCAATTATACTATAGTTGGATATTTAAATTAGATTAGAATGAAAAACCCTTTTGTTAATTATCTGCAACCCTCAGGAGTTAACTTCATCTCCTGCTCTCACTTACCACCACTACGTAAGTACTACTATGTTGACACATTGATGACCTGGGCTGGAGCTCAGCGTTACTGCAGAGAGGAATACACCGACCTGGCGACCTTCGAAAGCACGGATGATGTCAGCAGGCTGCCACCTGACACCAAACCATACAGATGGATCGGACTGAGTGACGACCCTAAATCGTGGAGGGGCACCATGGGTAATGACCCCAACTCCTGGAGATGGTCATCGACTGGTGAAACCAGTAGAACTGGTTACCAGAACTGGGCGGCGGGGAAACCAGCCAATGCCCTGCAGACCTGCGCTGTGATGCTCACTGATGGACGATGGAATGAAAATTCCTGTGAATCAGCTTTATATTTTTTTTGTTACACTGGTAAGACATTGTTTGAGTTCATTGATTTTATACACTGAATGCATTTGTACACTAACACCAATGCATATATATATAATATTGATTTTTAATAAATTACATTATTCCTCACCATCAGAGTCAATGAATGATTTCGTTAATTGTTACACTGGATTCCCTTCTGTCTGTTGCAGAGACGAACCAAGCTGAGAAAACCTTTGTGTTAATACAACTTCCAAAAAGCTGGTCTGCTGCCCGCGACTACTGCAGAGAACACTACACAGATTTAGCCAAGATTGAGAATGATGAGGAACAGAATGAGGTCAATTCTGCAAAACCAAGCAATTACATAGTTTGGATTGGTCTGTACCGAGTATCGTGGACTTGGTCCGACAAGTCACAAAGCTCCTTCAGGTTCTGGGATAGTGCTCAGCCAGATATGGTCTACGACAAGGCAATCTGTGGAGCTATGAATCCATCACATCGATTTCATGACGGCGACTGCTCTCAACTATTACCTTTCGCCTGCCATCAAGGTGATTGTGAACAAGTAATACATGTGTTCTACATGCATCATATTTACAGTAAAGGTGTCACTGTTTAAAGAGTGCATGTTTATTTTACGGTTCAGTTACCACATTGAAGACCACGCTCAAGATGAAGTTTGAGACTGACGCTGATATCACAGATCCAGCTCTTAACGGCCAGATCCTGCAGCAGGTACGACTCTCTGTTGTTTATTTTATGAGGTCAAAGTTGATGCAGAAAATTACAGAAAACTACAGTTTTTTTCCCCCTCTTCAGCTGAGTGCAGCGCTGAACCGTCAGGGATTCACTGACTTCAAGCTGAGATGGAAGATTGCGCCCGAAAAGCAGGAGAAGACCACGGAAACTCAATGTGTCATAAATGGATGATATATTTATTTAACTGCAATTCTTCTGACTTATTATAATGATTTGTGTTGTCATCTATGTTTTTTGTGAATTAAAATTAGACCTCAGCTATTAGATGATTTGTATTTTTGGTGTTTGCATGCTTGTCAAATTGCTGTCCTTGTTACCAGGGAAACTAAAGGAAACACCAGTCAACTAAAGAGCAACTGGTCTGTCTGATTTAAAAAGTTATTTCAAAAAGAAATTACTTTGTTTTAATTGAAAAAAAGTTTTGAAAAATGAATTAACTTTTTAAATACTATTTAAAAATGTTTTATTGACACCTTCCTTTTTTACACAGTGACCAGAGGACTTGACGTTACTACTGTCATCACAGGCTTTGTTTAGAATAACTTGTTATTTTTGCAGGTTTTAAGACACATAAAGTATAAAATATTTAACTGTGAATAATAATGTGTTTTTTAAAAACTTAAAACAACCTCAACTTCTTCACCCAATTATCTTTTCACTAAAAAGTTTAAAGACAAGTTGTCTCCCTCTTCAGTGAGAAGTGCATTGTGGGTGTTTATTCTCTGAAGGTCTCACTCTCACTAAAATACACTTTGAACGTAACCGGCTTCCGTACTACTTGTAATCCAACAATCACACACATATACGGCCAACAGCCATATACCTGATGGCTAAATCCTCCATCACACTCAGCTGTAACTCTTTGCTTGTGTGATGAGTTGTTGTCATTAAATTGTCAAGTGAATTTTAAGCAAATTCTGTAAACTGTTTTGTATTAAATAAACGTGGCTATGCAAAGTGTAGTGTCATCTGAAGTTGTGTATATGTACATACAGTAGAGTCATTATAGGGGAGAGCACGGTCGTCCTTCAGTCAGCAGGCCGGTCTCTAACCCCCCTGCTCTGGGACAGGCGAGAATGACGCCAAGAGGGGAAAAGCACAGTATGCTCACCACAAAAAAATAGACTACACCACTGAGTCAGACACACACACACACACACACACACACACACACACACGTACACAACTTAGATCTATTTGCCTTCACTGGTTTGACTACGAAATCACTTCCATGGATTGACTTGTCGTGTCTTTACTGACAAGACAAATTGATGAATTCAAATCTTGTGACCTTGTTTATTCTCTGAGGTGACAACAACAAACAGCATGACGAGGCCTTTTTCATTTAATGCACAATTTTTATTATTTCAGATTTGACACACATTTGTCTTGAGTCCTCTAAAGTTTTTTTGTGGGATGCAAATAATAAAAAGATTATGATATTTAATAAGTATTCATTATAATTTGAGAAACACCCTTTCCTGTTTAAGTGTAACAATGGCGTCCATAAAGAAACGTTAATCAGACTCCTCTGGGATTAACTTAATGTGTACAGTGTGTGGTTACAACACTGTGGTGGCGGGCGTGGTTTTGGGTCGTGTGCAGAGGGGGGGAGAGAGGGAAAGGGGGAGTGGCTCAGGCAATGGTGCCAGGTGGAGGCAATTGGCCTCAGCTGAGCTGAATGCTACTGATGGTGCTGGTGTTGTTATTTTAAAATGCAGTGAGGGCGATTGGGAGCGAGACGCCAGCAGCTCTCGCTGCATTTTCAACAGAGTAAAGTCAATAAAAAGGGTTTCCTACCGAACCTGCTGTGTCTTGCCTACTCTGTTACCTTGAGAGAACATACGCCGTGACAAACACATTCACACCCCAAAGTGTAAAATACCTGTTTGCCCAGTGCTCCTCAACTTCATGCTCGCTGTGGTGAAGCTGTCACATCTGAGCCGTCAAAGTAAGCCGGTTTGATTTGCATATGGAAATGTTGTCAAGCACTGTAAATCACTCAAGAGGGTTTATCCAGGTTGTCTTTGTCTGAATTACTGGAGGATCAACAGACATGGAGCTCAAATGTCAACCGTAGACAAACATTTAACAGCTGGATTTGAGATTTGTGAGTATAACTTTCCACATCACTGCAACAATCAACAAGGACTTCAGGTGAATAATTGTTAATGTAAGATCTGTGTCATGACCCGGCTCTCCCACGGGAAGTCAGGTGTCCTTTACTTATTGTGATCGCAAGCTGGGGCCTTCGCACACGGGTTCAGAGTCATCCAGAGGGCGTGGTCTTGGGCAGTTACGCCTTCCTCCTCTCCCGAGCCGGGGTGGAGGCGTAACAAGTGGGGGCTCGTCCGGGATTCTGTTATTCATTAGCTCAAGTCCGCCGTCTGTGGGTTGTGGCCCTGTGTTGGGATGGCTACGACGCTGGCGCAGTTGTTCCTTGCGCAGCCGTCCGTTGAGCTGCTAGAGCAGTGTCGCAAGGTAGACCTGGGGGTGATCATTGACCATTTTTCACTGGCTGTGCCTAAGCACCAGGTTAAGCATGAGTTGCGACGCTGTATCTGGGAAGCACTTGCTGTACGAGGTGTCTTACCTCCAGTTGGGGCAGCAGGTTCTCCTATCCAAGGAGATGGGCCAGGTGAGCAGGCTGCCAGTGTCTTCGGCTCTCCCACGGGAAGTCAGGCTGAGGAAAAGAATGGTGTGAGAACCCCAGTCACTCTGCCCCGCTTCGATCCTTTGTCCAGCCAGAGATCCAGTTTGGATGCTCGTGTGAAGGTGAGGATTGCACGTCTCCAGATGGAGGGGCAGGCTAGGCAAGCAGAGGATAACTATAACTTCAGGAAAATGGAACTTGAGGCAGAGTACAGGATGAGGCAGCTGGAAATCGATGGGCAAGTTGCACTGGCTCGTGCTGGGCAAGCGTCTTCACAGACCACATTCCCGGATCAGACATCTGATCGTTTTGATGTTAGTAAGAACATTGCACTTGTCCCACAGTTCAGAGAATCTGAGGTGGATTCATACTTCGGAGTGTTTGAGCGTATTGCTTCTTCGCTAAAGTGGCCCAAAGAAGTTTGGCCATTGCTGGTACAATGTAAGCTGTTTGGTAAAGCACAAGAGGTTGTGTCTGCATTAGAGCTGGAGGACAGTTTACAGTATGACTGCGTTAAAAACGCAGTTCTCCGGGCATATGAGTTGGTCCCTGAGGCTTACAGACAGAAATTCAGAAGCCATAGAAGAAACCCAAATAGGTCCTATGTGGAGTTTGCCCGGGAAAAACAGACGCTGTTCGATAGATGGTGTGCAGTCAGTAAAAGCAGTGACTTTGCGTCCCTGCGGGAACTAGTACTATTGGAGGAGTTTAAAAATAGTCTGTCAGACAGGTTGGTAGTTTACCTAAATGAGCAGAAGGTTGCGACATTGTCCCAGGCCGCAGTGCTTGCTGACGAGTTTGCACTAACGCACAAGACAGTGTTCACTTTACCTCGTAATGAGTTTGGGGGTGCTGCCTCCACGTCTGCTACACCGGTGAGACAGACTCCTCCCCGTTCTCCGCCTCGTTCCAGGGAAGAGCGTGAATGTTTTTACTGCCATAGAAAAGGACACGTAATGGCAGATTGTTTGAAGCTGCAACGTAGGCAGGCTTCTACCGAACCTGTGGGGCTAGTTCACACTTTGCCCGGTACTTCTGTGAAATTGTTGCCTGTGTCACGTCAACCTGTTGATTCTTGTTACGATCCTTTCATATCTGAAGGGTCGGTGTCGTTAACTGATAATTCCGAGACGCAAGTTCCTATTCGTATACTGCGAGATACAGGGGCTTCGCAGTCCATTATTCTGTCGGACGTGTTGCCTTGGTCTGACAGTTCGGCTTGTGGCTACAACGTTTTGTTGCAGGGCATTGAGATGGGGTATGTTCCGGTGCCGCTCCACTATGTGTATTTGCAGTCTGAATTGGTTAGCGGACGTTTCAAAGTCGCTGTACAACCTTCTCTCCCTGTGAAAGGGATCACCTTGGTAATGGGAAACGACATTGCTGGAGGTCTGGTGAGTCCAGTATTGGAAGTTTTAGACGCTCCCGAAAAGCTTGCTAACTCTGTTGAGCTTAGTTCTGTGTACCCAGCATGTGTGGTGACGCGTGCACAGTCACGTCGGCAGGGAGATGTGATTGGTTTAAATGACACAATATTTGACTCAGTGTTTCGTACAGATGATATATCCTCTTTGGCTCCCACTTCACCCGCATCAATAAAACAGCAGGATCCGAGTCATCCATCTCCCACTGAGGAGTGCATGTTACCCGTTACACGTGTGAACCTGATTGAGAGACAAAAGACAGATCCTACACTTAGAAAATGTTGTAGTTCTGCTGTGACACAGGAGCAAGCTAAGGAACAAGCTGTTTCTTACTTTTGTGAGGATGGGCTCTTGCTTCGTAAATGGTCCTCAAACAAAGCTGAAGACGCAGGGGGATCTGTATTGCAGATTGTGGTGCCGACACCGTTCAGAACCCACATTTTGTCCCTCGCTCATGACATCCCATGGTCTGGGCACCTAGGAGTCACAAAAACCTATAACCGTGTGTTGCAAAATTTCTTTTGGCCAGGCTTGAAGAAAGACGTGGTTCATCACTGCAGGACTTGTCATACCTGCCAGATGGCCGGAAAGCCGAACCAGGTCATTCCGCAAGCTCCACTCTGCCCCATTCCTGTTATGGGTGAGCCCTTTGAAAGAGTGATTATCGACTGTGTTGGCCCGTTACCTAAAACTAGGTCAGGCAACCAATACCTACTGACAATAATGTGTGCTGCTACCCGATATCCAGAGGCTATTCCTCTGCGGAAGATCACGTCAAAGGTAGTAGTATCAGCACTAAATAGATTCTTTGCGGTTTTCGGTCTGCCTAAAGTCATTCAGACTGACCAGGGTACTAATTTCATGGCTAACATGTTTGCCCAAGTACTGAAAACACTGTCCATCACGCACAAGGTTTCCAGTGCCTACCACCCTGAAAGTCAGGGAGCTTTAGAACTCTGGCACCAAACACTCAAATCAATGTTGAGGAAATATTGTATGGACACTAAAAAGGACTGGGACGATGGCATTCCTTTTGTGTTATTTGCCATCCGAGAGGCTGTGCAGGAATCAATTGGTTTTAGTCTGGCCGAGCTGATTTTCGGACACACTGTTAGAGGGCCACTTAGTCGTAAAAGAACATTTGATGGAAGCCCCAGGTTCTCCAAAGAAGGTGCTGGACTATGTCAGTTGGATTCGTGAGCGGTTGCATGCTGCATGTGCACTGGCGAAAGAGACGCTGTCTTCTACGCAGGAACGGATGAAGGGTCATTGGGACCGCAAGGCGGTGCCTCGCTCTCTACAGCCTGGTGGTTATTTTCTCTTTGTGAACAGCTTTGTCGCAACCCTCGGGGTTGCTCTTTTTGGGGGGGCGTGTTACGTCCGGCTGCTCCATTAGTGTTTTCTCCTCCCCCATGTCTTTGTTTCCCGTCTGTTCTTCCCAGGTGTGGTGAGTTGCTGCTGACGATGCAGGCGTGGCCAGCTGTTCCTCCAGCCAATCCAGCTCTCAGCTCTGCTCCTTTAAAAATGTTTGTGTGTGAGAGCTGAAAAAAGAGAGGGTGTCCTGCTGTTTGAGGAGAGATTGAGAGTGACATTGATTTAGATATTGAAAGGAATATATGGTTTATGTTGTTTGTTAAACTGTGGTCTATTGTACTCCAAGGTCTGTGTTTATGTACTTACCCCAAGAGTGCTGTGGAGCAGGGCTAGGTAAGATACCCTGGGGTCTACATACACCCGTAGGGAAAACCTCTGTGAGATACACTAGATTAGAAGCCAGCGGCTGTCACCCAGTGTATTGTAGCAGGGAGGTAAGTGGTGTGATAGGTTAGATTGTGGTAGGTAGGTTTAGAGGGTTAGGGAAGCTCAGGGTCCTTTGTTTTGTTTCTTTGCTTTGACAGACCGCTGGCACCGCCCTACTCCAGAGGCCTTGTTACCTGTTAGTCCTCCTATCCCGTGTCTTTGTACTTGTGTGTAATTGGTTGTTGAAATGTTTGTATTGTTATTGTAGGGGAAATAAACCCACCATAGCCATCCATTGTAGTAGTGTCCTTTAGTTATTGTGATCGCAAGCTGGGGCCTTCGCACACGGGTTCAGAGTCATCCAGAGGGCGTGGTCTTGGGCAGTTACGCCTTCCTCCTCTCCCGAGCCGGGGTGGAGGCGTAACAGTAGCCAATGGTGAAGGAGACACGCAGGATATTTAAGAGAAAATCTTTTCATTTTTTTAGACTTTATTGCACCTGAAATATACCAAAGTCCTGATTACCTGGTATCACCAAATACAGTATAAGACACTCACTGCCCTTTATCTGACCAGAGTAAATGTAACACGGGGAGCCTGGGAAAAAATCTCTTCTCATTATTGTTGCACCTGCTGGGACTGTTCTGTATCTTTTTATTTAAAGGTCTCAATCTTCTAGAGGTTTAAAACTTCATTTATAGGTTAATTACCTGTGTTCTTCTTATTTGCAGTGAAAATCAGCAATGGATTGTTGCTTGAATCTGATTGTCCTCTTCTGTGGTAAGGTCGAGATTATTTTTAAATAATGTAACAACGGTTGGTTTTCAGTTAGTTATTGTAAGCTTGTTGAGTGATGCAGGTAAATTCACTGGGGAAAACTTGCTCACATTTAAGTTTTTATATGTAAAAAGTGACTAAAATAACACTCATGGCAAATAAATAAACCGCTTTATTTATCAAGCTAGGTACAATCTGCACAAGTTGAATTTAATGCTACTGTATGAATATGGGGATGATTTCATACTTTGTAAATCACTAAACACTAACCGTGCCGTCTCTCACAACCCTCAGGAGTTAACTTCATCTCCTGCTCTCACTTACCACCACTACGTAAGTACTACTATGTTGACACATTGATGACCTGGGCTGGAGCTCAGCGTTACTGCAGAGAGGAATACACCGACCTGGCGACCTTCGAAAGCACGGATGATGTCAGCAGGCTGCCACCTGACACCAAACCATACAGATGGATCGGACTGAGTGACGACCCTAAATCGTGGAGGGGCACCATGGGTAATGACCCCAACTCCTGGAGATGGTCATCGACTGGATAAACCAGTAGAACCGGTTACCAGAACTGGGCGGTGGGGAAACCAGCCAATCCCCTGCAGACCTGTGTTGTGATGCTCGCTGATGGACGATGGAATGAAAATTCCTGTGAATCAGCTTTATATTTTTTTTGTTACACTGGTAAGACATTGTTTGAGTTTATTCATTTTATACACTGAATGCATTTGTCATCTAACAAAATATCATGAAACCGTTGCAGCTTCTGCTCTCTTAAAACACAGATATATATATATATATATATATGAGAGAGAGAGAGAGAGAGATGGATAACAGTAACTGAAAATATTTTTTAATTAAACTGTCCTCGTTTTCGACAATGAATGATTTCGTTAATTGTTACACTTGATTCCCTTCTGTCTGTTGCAGAGACGAAACAAGCAACGAAAACCTTTGTGTTAATACAACTTTTAAAAAGCTGGTCTGCTGCCCGCGACTACTGCAGAGAACACTACACAGATTTAGCCAAGATTGAGAATGATGAGGAACAGAATGAGGTCAATTCTGCAAAACCAAGCCACTATATTAAAGCTTGGATCGGTCTGTACCGAGTGCCGTGGACTTGGACCGACAAGTCACAAAGCTCCTTCAGATTCTGGGATAGTACTGAGCCAAATAATGCAGACAACAAGGAGTTCTGTGGATTTAAGCGTCCATCACATCAATGGAATGACGCCGACTGCTCTAGACTATTCCCTTTTGTCTGCCATCAAGGTGATTGTGAATAAGAAATAAATGTGTTTCACATGCCTCAAATTTACTGTAGATGTCTCACTGTTTAAAGACTGCATGTTTATTTTACGGTTCAGTTACCACATTGAAGACCACGCTCAAGATGAAGTTTGAGACTGACGCTGATATCACAGATCCAGCTCTTAACGCCCAGATCCTGGAGCAGGTACAACTCTCTGTTGTTTATTTTATGAGGTCAAAGATGATGCAGAAAATGACAGAAAACTACAATTTTTCCCTCTTCAGCTGAGTGCAGCGCTGAACCGTCAGGGATTCACTGACTTCAAGCTGAGATGGAAGATTCCGCCCAAAAAGCAGGAGAAGACCACGGAAACTCAATGTGTCATAAATGAATGATATATTTATTTAACTGCATTCCTACTAGCTTATAATACTCTTGTTATTATCTATGTTATTTGTGAATAAAAACAGACCTCAGCTATTAGATGATTTGCAACTGGTCTGTCTGATTTAAAAAGTCATTTAAAAAAACTCTTCTCCATTATCATTCTAAATACTATTATAAATGTTTTATTGACACCTTACTTTGCTACACAGTGACTGAAGGACTTGATGTTACTGCTGTCATCAAAGGCTTTTAACTGTGAAATAAAAAATTTGTCTGGTTTTTCAAAACTTAAAACAACTTCTACTTCTTCTTCCTCTTTGGAAATCCGATAATCAATGAATAAGCAATTGTCTTTTCATTAAAAAGTTCAAAGACAAGATGTCTCCCTCTTCAGTGAGAAGTGCATTGTGGGTGTTTATTCTCTGAAGGTCTCATGTTTCCATTTTACACTTTTGTGTAAAATACACTTTGAACGTAACCGGCTTCCGTACTACTTGTAATCCAACAGTCACACACATATACGGCCAACAGCCATATTCCTGATGGCTAAATCCTCCATCACACTCAGCTGTAACTCTTTGCTTGTGTGATGAGTCCTCTTTTTATTAAGTTGACGATTGAACTTTAAGCAAATTCTGGAAACTGTTTTGCAGAAAAAAAAACTTGGCTATGCAAAGTGTAGTGTCATCTGAAGTTGTTAATAAATAAATAAATATATAGCACGGCCATCGTTCCGTCAGACACACACAAACACACACGTACACTTCCTAGATATATTTACCCTCACTGGTTTGACAAAGAAATCACTTCCAAAGATTGACTTGGCCGTGTCTTTACTTCGGGTGTCAGTAATCCACCTCTTTGTTTTGTCAAACAAATTGATGAATTCAAATCTTGTGACCTTGTGTATTCTCCAAGTTGTCAACAACAAACAGCATGACAAGGCCTTTATCATTTAATGCACAGTTGTTATTATTTCAGATTTGACAAATATGTCTTGAGTCCCCTCAATTCTTTTAACTGCAATTCATCACTTTGTCACTTGTCACTTTGTCTCTTGACTGTTGCTTGTTCGTTAGTGCACTTTATGCTCAATATTTTTCTTTTTAACTTTTTAATATTTAAAATTGTTTAACTTTATTCCCTTGTTTTATACTAACCCATAGCCTTAGCCTTATTCTACTAACCCATTGCATTAGCATTTCATTCCACTTTATTTTATTACTTGTGCACTGTTGTCTTGTCTGTCTACTGTCGCGCACTAATCGCCAAGACAAATTCCTTGTATGTTTGACATATTTTGGCTAATAAACGTTTCCTGATTCCTGTTTCCTGATTCCTTTGTAGGATACGAATAAGAAAAACATAATATTATGCTTTTTAAAAAGTATTTGTTAAAATGTGAGAAACACCATTTCCTTTTTAATTGTGAAAGATTTGTCTATAAAGAAACGTTAATCGAAGTTTGTTGTGGAAGAACTACACACTGCAAACATACTTTACCAAAACAGATAATTAATAAAACTTACATAAAGGCTGTAGACTTTATTAAGCTAAGAGGAGGATGATGACTTTACAGGATATCTATGATGCAACCAGCATCCAATGGGTTAACTTGATCATATCGATGTTTTGCATATGGAAAGATTGTCAAACACTTTAAATGACTCAAGAGGGTTTATCCAGGTTGTCTTTGTCGGAATTACTGGAGGATCAACACCACGGAGCTCAAATGTCAACCGTAGAATACATTTCAACAGCTGGATTTGAGATTTGTGAGTATTTCCACATCACTGCAACAATCAACAAGGACTGCAGGTGAATAATTGTTAATGTAAGAGCTGTTTCTTGACCCGACTCTGAAACCGTAGCCAATGGTGAAGGAGACACGCAGGATATTTAAGAGAAAATCTTTTCATTATTTTAGACTTTATTGCACCTGAAATATACCAACGTCCTGATTACCTGGTATCACCAAATACAGTATAAGACACTCACTGCCCCTTTATCTGACCAGAGTAAATGTAACACGGGGAGCCTGGGAAAGACTCTCTTCTCATCATTATTGTTGCAGCTGCTGGGACTGTTCTGTATCTTTTTATTTAAAGGTCTCAATCTTCTAGAGGTTTAAAAGTTCATTCATAGGTTAATTACCTGTGTTCTTCTTATTTGCAGTGAAAATCAGCAATGGATTGTTGCTTGAATCTGATTGTCCTCTTCTGTGGTAAGGTCGAGATTATTTTTAAATAATGTAACAACGGTTGGTTTTCAGTTAGTCATTGTAAGCTTGTTGAGTGATGCAGGTAAATTCACTGGGGAAAACTTCCTCACATTTAAGTTTTTATATGTAAAAAGTGACTGTCGAATAACACTCATGGCAAATAAATAAACATCTTTATTTATCAAGCTATGTACAATCTGCACAAGTTGAATTTAATGCTACTGTATGAATATGGGGATGATTTCATACTGTAAATCACTAAAAACTAACCGTGCCGTCTCTCACAACCCTCAGGAGTTAACTTCATCTCCTGCTCTCACTTACCACCACTACGTAAGTACTACTATGTTGACAAATTGATGACCTGGGCTGGAGCTCAGCGTTACTGCAGAGAGGAATACACCGACCTGGCGACCTTCGAAAGCACGGATGATGTCAGCAGGCTGCCACCTGACACCAAACCATCTAGATGGATCGGACTGAGTGACGACCCTAAATCGTGGAGGGGTACCATGGGCAATGACCCCAACTCCTGGAGATGGTCATCGACTTGTGAAACCAGTAGAACCGGTTACCAGAACTGGGCGGTGGGGAAACCAGCCAATGCCCTGCAGCCCTGTGCTGTGATGCTCGCTGATGGACGATGGAATGAATATTCCTGTGAATCAGCTTTATATTTTATTTGTTACACTGGTGAGACATTGTTTGAGTTTATACATTGAATTTGTCCACTAACAACATTTCATAGAAACCGTAGAAACCGAGAGCTTTTGCTCTCTTTGTGAAAATAGCTGCTGCAATATAACGCTGAATAAGTTCAGAACGCGGTTTGTTGATTCAGTATATTTAACATCTGCTACTCTCTCACTGGTAAGATGTTATTCATGTAATGATTGATAGATACTATTTGAAATACACATATATACATTTTTTTAATATCAATTTTATTATTCCTCATCACGACGCAATGAATAATTTCGCCAATTTTTAAACTTGATTCCCTTCTGTCTGTTGCAGAGACGAACCAAGCAACGAAAAGCTTTGTGTTAATACAACTTTCAAAACGCTGGTCTGCTGCCCGCGACTACTGCAGAGAACACTTCACAGATTTAGCCAAGATTGAGAATGATGAGGAAAAGAATGAGGTCAATTCCGCAAATCCAAGCCATGGCATAGTTTGGATCGGTCTGTACCGAGTGCCGTGGACTTGGTCCGACAAGTCACAAAGCTCCTTTAGAGTCTGGGCTCGTGGTGAGCCAAATAATTCCGGCAACGAGGAATTCTGTGGAGCTATGACATCATCACATCAATGGAATGACGTTGGCTGCTCTTACCTATTCCCGTTTGTCTGCCATCAAGGTGATTTTTGGCGAGAAATGAATGTCTCCTGTACATGTATCATATTTACCGTAAAGGTGTCACTGTCTAAAGACTGCATGTTTATTTTACGGTTAAGTTATCACATTGAAGACCACGCTCAAGATGAAGTTTGAGACTGACGCTGATATCACAGATCCAGCTCTTAACGCCCAGATCCTGCAGCAGGTACAACTCTCTTGTTTATTTTAAGAGGTCAAAGTGGATGCAGAAAATGATAGAAAACTACAGTTTTTTTCCTCTTCAGCTGAGTGCAGCGCTGACACGTAAGGGATTCACTGACTTCAAGCTGAGATGGAAGATTCCGCCCAAAAAGCAGGAGAAGACCACGGAAACTCAATGTGTCATAAATGGATGACATATTTATTTTAATTGCAAGCATACTAAGTTACAAAAAGTTTTGTGTTATCTTTGTTATTCGAGAATGATATTAGACTTCAGCTAATAGTTTTGTCTTTTTATTGTTTGCATGCTTGTTAAATTGGGAACGCCTCAGGATCCCCCAGCCACAGCTGGTAGATGTGGTCCTGGAAAGGGAAGTTTGGGGTTCTCTGCTCCAACTGTTGCCCTCGTAACCCGACCCTGGGTGAGCGGTTAAATAAGAGACGAGAGATGGTGTGTATACAAAGGGTAACCATGGCCAATGTCATGCTTTGCAGATGGAAATGTTAGTGAGGGCACATTCCTTAAAGTACTTATTAGCAGGCGTCTGTATATCTAGAGCAGGGGTCTCAAACTCGCGGCCCGCGGGCCAATTGCGGCCCTCGGGACGATATTTTGTGGCCCCATCCTTAATATGAAAGTGTAATGTTAGTGCGGCCCGCAAGTTTTATACTGTAACCCCACTGTCAGCTGCTGTGTGGGACATGTTATGATGTTCTGGTTTCCTACTGTGTGCTTGTCCAGTGAACGTGGCATGCATGTGACTGACATGGGGGGCGGGTCGTGTGTGTCGGCCGAGGTGCAGAGAGCAGGAGGGTGAAATTCAGTTTCCTGCCCTCTTTCGCGCAGGTGATCATGTGACTAACCGTTAGCATCGCTCGTTCAATAAAGTTTTCCTTTACGACTCACACTAACAACACATGAAGCATCTGACGTCACCGACGAGCGTCTCCGTCCATTACTACGCAGCTTCGATTCACGTAACTTCACGTTTGACTATAAAGGAATTCCACGGTCACATGACCTTAGGTCTCCCCCGCTGAGTTAAAGGAGGACTAGTGTTGTAGTCTCATTCGGACCGATCCCCCAGGGTGGGGTTCAATGACTGCTTTTGAAAGTGAGTGTTAAGTTGTGTTATTGTCGACCATGCCGTTCGGACGCTAGTCTGGCCCGCGTTCGGTTGAAGTGGGCTCCATCTGGCCCGCAGCTGATTTGAGTTTGAGACCCCTGATCTAGAGGATAAGAAAGTTCAGATCCCAGCAACGATTGTGAGTGCGCTTCTGTATTGCAGGGTAACAAGTGATGAAATACAGTTCCACTGCAAGTTGACAATATTCTCTGCAAGAAAAAGAAGTAAAACTGTTCAAAGATTTAGGTTTTATTTTTTCTGTTACAAAGTGGGAAATAATGATAACTGCATAAGGTTTGATTTGTATGTCAAGGGATGATATGATAAAAAAAAAAGTTCAAAACGGAATATCGAGATTGTTATACATCAAAACATTCCATACTTCTTAAATGTTTAATCTGGTAACTGTTGAAGGCAATAATTCTCTAAATGTTGTATGTTTTCTGGTTGCAACAAATGACCTATTGATTCAACTTTGCACACTAGCTAGTCAAAGTGAGTCCAGGAAGACGGGATTTACCATTCAAAGGAGCTCTTGGCATTTAGAACAAAATCCTAAACAAATGAAGCTCAGCATTCCAGACACCCTTTAACTTGCAAATTACTAAAATAATTACTGGTCCATCAGCTAAATCCTTCCCAGTAATGCAAAGTGTCCCACCGATATCTTTGTGTTGAATGATTGTTACGGAGTCAATATCATACATGACACTTTATGTAAAAATTTGGATATTGTCAGTAAATGTAAAAATAAAAGGTCAACAGACGGTGATGGCATTGACATGACAATAATCAAGAAGGTAATTGAGGAAATTATTCATCCTCTGACTTTCATCTGTAATCTGTCATTTCAAGTGGGTAAATATCCAGAAAATTCAAATTCAAAATTGCAAAAGTCATTCCACTATATAAATCTGCGGACAGACACTGTTTTACAAATTATAGGCCTGTTGCCCTACTTCCACAATTTTCCAAAATTTTGGAAAAATTATTTGTGGGTAGATTGGATACCTTCATTAGTAAACATAAACTGCTTTCTGAAAGCCAATACGGATTTAGATCGCAAAGATCCACAGCAATGGCAGTCCTTGAATTAATAGAAGAAGTCACCAGCTCCTTAGACAAAAAAAAATATTTATTGATCTCAAAAAAGCATTAGATACAATAAATCCTGAAATATTAATTAAGAAATTAGAGCGCTGTGGTATCAGGGGAGTAGTCTTCCACTGGATGAAAAGCTATCTAAGTAACAGGCAACAATTTGTGCAAATGACTTCAGGCCTGTCGCCCTGACCTCTGTAGTCATGAAGTCTTTTGCACGGCCAGTCCTGACCCCCCTGAAGTCCCTCACCGACACCCTCCTGGACCCCCTGCAGTTCGCCTACAGAGCCAACAGGTCTGTTGACGATGCTGTCAACATGGCCCTCCACTACATCCTCCAGCATCTGGAGTCCCCAGGAACCTACGCCAGGATCCTGTTTGTGGACTTCAGCTCTGCCTTCAACACCATCATCCCGTCTCTGCTGCAGGACAAACTCTCCCAGCTGCACGTGCCCGACTCCACCTGCAAGTGGATCACAGACTTCCTGTCTGACAGGAAACAGCACGTGAAGCTGGGGAAACATGTCTCAGCCTCTCGGACCAGCAGCACCGGTTCCCCCAAAGGCTGCTTTCTTTCCCCTCTGCTCTTCTCCCTGTATACCAACAGCGGCACCTCCAGTCACCAGTCCGTCAAGCTCCTGAAGTTTGCGGATGACACCACCCTCATTGGACTAATCTCTGGTGGTGATGAGTCCGCCTACAGGTGGGAGTCTGACCATCTGGTGTCGTGGTGCAGTCAGAACAACCTGGAGCTCAACGCTCTGAAGACAGTGGAGATGGTTGTGGATTTCCGGAGGAACAGCGCCCCACCTTCCCCCATCACCCTGTGTGGCTCCCCCGTCACTATTGTGGATTCCTTCCGTTTCCTGGCCTCCATCATCACCCAGGACCTCAAGTGGGAGCTGAACATCAGCTTCCTGAGGCAGCTGAAGAAATTCAACCTGCCAAAGATGATGATGGTCCACTTCTACACGGCCATCATCGAGTCCATCCTCTGCTCTTCCATCACCGTCTGGTACGCTGCAGCCACAGCCAAGGACAAGGGCAGGCTTCAGCGGGTCATCCGCTCTGCAGAGAGGGTGATCGGCTGCAATCTGCAGTCCCTGCAGGACTTGTTCGCTTCCAGGTCTCTGAAGCGAGCTAAAAAAGATTTTAGCCGACCCCTCTCACCCCGGACAAAACCTGTTTGTGCCCCTTCCATCTGGCAGGAGGCTGAGGTCCATCAGGACTAAGACCTCCCGCCACACGAACAGTTTCTTCCCGTCGGCAGTCGGGCTCATCAACAGAGCCCGGTCCCCCACTGACTGACTACAACATTCCACCGGTCACTCTGCTTCACACTGCACATGTCACTTTAACTGTCATTTTTCACTCGTTACTTTGTTGTCACTCGTCACTTTGTCACTTGTTCGATAGTGCACTTTATTTTTTTTATATTTTGTAACTTTTTAAATATTTTTAATTTTTAACTTTAACTTTATTCTCTTATTTTATACTAACCCATCGCCTTATAGCCTTATTGTACTAAACCATTGCATTAGCATTTCATTTTTTTTTATTTCATTACTTGTGCACTGCTGTCTTGTCTATTGTTACACTGTCTACTGTCACGCACAAACCGCCAAGACAAATTCCTTGTGTGTTTGACATATTTTGGCAATAAATGTTTCCTGATCCTGATTCTGATCCTGAAATGGGTGACCACCAGTCATCTTGCTTGGACGTTGTTTGTGGTGTCCCCCAGGGGTCAGTATTGGGACCTAAAGTGTTTATTCTTTATATTAATGACATCAGTAAAGTTTCTAAAATACTTAAGTTTGTTTTGTTTGCAGATGATACTAATATTTTTTGTACAGGTGACAATTTGCAGCAGCTTTCCACTGAAATCAATTTAGAGTTACGTCACCTTAAGATATGGTTTGATATGAATAAATTATCATTAAACTTGGATAAGACCAAGTTTATGTTGTGCAGTAATTGCAAAAGCAAAACAAATTTGCAAATCCTAATAGACAATGTGTCGGTGGAGCGAGTTAATGAAATTAAGTTTTTGGGAGTTATGATAGGCCATAAGATTTGCTGGAAACTGCATATTAAATACATTCAGTCTAAAATATCCAGAAGTATTGCTATTCTCAGCAAAGAAACATTTTCTAAATTATGCTGCACTATATATTCTATATTTCTCACTTATTTTGCCTTACTTGAGTTACTGTGTGGAAGTATTGGGCAACACCTATAAAACCCTGCTGCGACCTTTATGTACATTCCAAAAAAGAGCCATCATAATGGTTCATAAGTCAGGATTCCACGATCATACTAACTTATTATTTATACAGTCCTGCTTCCTCAAACAGCCAGATCTAGTAGAATTTCAAACCGCTCTGCTGATGTATAAAGCTAGAAATAAACAACTACCAGATAACGTGCAAAAACTGTTTACTGATTGAGTGGGGGGCTATGATTTCAGGGAAAACCTTAACTTCAGAACCTTGAGGGTTCGAACCACCATGAAGAGAATGTGCATTTCAGTCAGTGGTGTGAAGGTCTGGAATAAACTTCAAAAAGACCTGAAGCAAAGTCCAAGCAAGACTCCGTTTAAAAAAAAGACTCAAATTGGTGATTCTCAACGGGTACTGTGACAAAGAGAGAAGGTGATTGGTATAACTACTCAGCACTATATATATGTTATATTGTATTTAGTATATATAATGTATATGGTATATCATTATTATTAAATAAATAAATATTATTATTATTCTTAGTGTAAGTATGTATATGTATATAAATATATATATACATGTTATAGGTATGCTTGCAGGGATATGTTTGTGGTGTTTATTTGTTTTTGTGATTGTGATTGGATATTTGTGAAGTGTATGCGTGGTATGTAGGTGTATTATGTAGTATTCTGTGTGGGTACAGGCTGAAGAGTGGTTGAAAAGGGGTGGGACATCAAATAAGTGTCATGCTTCTTCCCATTCCTTTTTTTCAAACAGTTTTTTTTCTGTTGTGTCTTAGCTCTTTGTTGTTCTATTTTTTTAAATAATTTGTATTTTCTTTGTGCGTACAAGTAGTAACATTTTTTTTCCCTTTTATACTAGTTCGAAAAAATAAATAAATTCATAAATCGGGGTCGTCGTGGCGCAGGGGTTTAGAGACGGTGTGCTGGGAAGCATAAGGTTGGTGGTTCGATTCCAGGCTGCCCCATGTTCCATGTTGAAGTGTCCCTGAGCAATACACCTAACCCTTAATTGCTCCCCGGGCAAAGATGTGTTAAAGCCATGGGTTTAAAGTGTAATGTAAGTCGCTTTGGATAAAAGCGTCTGCTAAATGACCTGTAATTTAATGTAATAAATCTCCGCAACTCATTGAGTGACGTAATAATCGCGCGACACAATGAATCGAATTGTAGTCCCTGCTGCAACCACTGCGAGGGGATGTACCTCCCACTGATGACCAACCCTCTCATGACATCACAATATACAGAAATGGATGAATAGCGACAAACCGAAAATATGTTTGTGCACAGTTTATAACTTGATTTTTAATTATTATTTAAACTGTTACCCATTGCCAACGATGAATAATTTCATTAATTGTTACACTGGATTCCCTTCTGTCTGTTGCAGAGACGAACCAAGCAACGAAAACCTTTCTGTTGATCCAACTTTCAAAAAGCTGGTCTGCTGCCCGCGACTACTGCAGAGAACACTACACAGATTTAGCCAAAATTGAGAATGACGGGGAACAGAATGAGGTCAATTCTGCAAATCCAAGCCTTTATGGTAAGGTTTGGATTGGTCGGTACCGAGTGCCGTGGACTTGGTCCGACAAGTCACAAAGCTCCCTCAGAATCTGGGATAGTACTGAGCCAAATAATTACGACGGCCATGAAGTCTGTGTAGCTAAGCGCCCATCACAACTATGGGCTGACTACGACTGCCTTCTCCGATTCCCGTTTGTCTGCCATCAAGGTGATTTTAGTAGTAGTGATATCATATTTACAATAGATGTCTCACTGTTTAAAGACTGCATGTTTATTTTACGGTTCAGTTATCACATTGAAGACCACGGCACTCAAGACGAAGTTTGAGACTGACGCTGATATCACAGATCCAGCTCTTAACGCCCAGATCCTGCAGCAGGTACGACTCTCTGTTGTTTATTTTATGAGGTCAAAGTTGATGGAGAAAATGACAGAAAACTACTGTTTTTTCCCTCTCTTCAGCCGAGTGCAGCGCTGACACGTCAGGGATTCACTGTCTTCAAGCTGAGATGGAAGATTTTGCATAGCACTTTGCATAGCCAGGCTATATATAGGCTAATAGGCTAAATAAACGCGGCTATGCAAAGTGTAGTGTCATCTGAAGTTGTGTATATGTACATACAGTAGAGTCATTATAGGGGAGAGCACGGTCGTCCTTCAGTCAGCAGGCCGGTCTCTAACCCCCCTGCTCTGGGACAGGCGAGAATGACGCTAAGAGGGGAAGAGCACAGTATGCTCACCACAAAAAAATAGACAACACCACTGAGTCAGACACACACACACACACACACGTACACAACGTAGATCTATTTGCCTTCACTGGTTTGACTACGAAATCACTTCCAAGGATTGACTTGTCGTGTCTTTACTGACAAGACAAATTGATGAATTCAAATCTTGTGACCTTGTTTATTAATCCAAGGTGACAACAAGCAACAGCATGACGGTGCCTTCATCATTTAATGCACAATTATTGTATAATATTATACTTTAGAATTTGAGAAACACCTTTTCCTGTTTAAGTGTAACAATGTATAAGTAAGCAATAAAAGTAATGCATTTGTTTGACCCCTCGACCTCCACTCTTCATTACCCTAGTCGCTACCATTTCACACTGCAAACATACTTTATCAAAAAAGATAATGGCTAAGGGTTCAGACTTTATTAAGCGAAGAGGAGGAGGATGACTTTACAGGATATCTATGACGCAACCGGCATCCAATGGGTTAACTTCATCAAAGTCATGTTTTGCATATGGAAATGTTGTCAAGCACTTTAAATGACTCAAGAGGGTTTATCCAGGTTGTCTTTGTCGGAATTACTGGAGGATCAACACCATGGAGCTCGAATGTCAACCGTAGAATACATTTCAACAGCTGGAGATTTGTGAGTATTTCCACATCACTTTAATAATCAACAAGGACTGCAGGTGAATAATTGTTAATGTAAGATCTGTTTCATGACCCGGCTCTCAAACCGTAGCCAATGGTGAAAGAGATATTCAGGATATAATAATGTTTTTGTTTCCGGGGATTGCTGGAATATTGGAAATAAAAGGTAGATTTGGACTAAACTAAATCTGACAGAAAAACTCTGCCCTTTATCTGACCAGAGTAAATGTAACGGGGAACCTGGGAAAGACTCTCTTTTCCGGACACAGGATGGTCGTGTCTTGTGGGCTGCAGACGTGGTTGGCTGCCTCGATCTCTTTGAGTTGACCTTAAGCTTAAAAATTTACCTATTTTCTTCTCATTTGCAGTGAAAGTCAGCAATGGATTGTTGCCTTCCTTTGATTGTCCTCTTCTGTGGTAAGGTCGAGACTTTTAAACAATGTAACAACGGTTGGGTTTCAGTTCGAATACATCACTCTAAGCTTCTTGAGTGATGCCGGTAACACAAGACTGGGAAAAACTTAAATCTATATTACATTTCCTCACCTTTTTAAAACATGTTATATGTAAAAGGTGTCTGTAGTAGAATAATACTGAAGTTATCAAGGTATGAACAATCTAGACAAGTTGGATTTAATGCTACTGTATGATTATGGGGATGATTTCATACTGTAAATCACTAAACACTAACCGTGCCGTCTCTCACAACCCTCAGGAGTTAACTTCATCTCCTGCTCTCACTTACCACCATTACGTAAGTACTACTATGTTGACACATTGATGACCTGGGCTGGAGCTCAGCGTTACTGCAGAGAGAAATACACCGACCTGGCGACCTTCGAAAGCATGGATGATGTCAGCAGGCTGCCACCTGACACCAAACCATACAGATGGATCGGACTGAGTGACGACCCTAAATTGTGGAGTGGCACCATAGGTAAAGAGCACAACTCCTGGAGATGGTCATCGACTGGTGAAACCAGTCAAACCGGTTACCAGAACTGGGCGGCGGGGAAACCAACCAATCCCCTGCAGACCTGTGTTGTGATGCTCACTGATGGACGATGGAATGAATATCCCTGTGAATCAGCTTTATATTTTATTTGTTACACTGGTAAGATATTGTTTGAGTTCATTGATTTTATACACCGAATTCATTTTCAGTCCACTAACAACATTCAATCTGAATTGGTATGAACACTGAATGAGTTTTAAACACGGTTTGTTGATTCAGCATATTTCACATCTGCTACTCTCTCACTGTGATTGAGAGATGTCATTCATGTGATTATTGATAGATAATATATTAAATATATCTATCTAAATAATTTTGAATTTTAATATCAATTATATTATTCCTCACCACGAGTCAATGAATAATTTCAATAATTGTTACACTGGATTCCCTTCTGTCTGTTGCAGAGACGAACCAAGCAACGAAAAGCTACGTGTTAATCCAACTTTCAAAAAGCTGGTCTGATGCCCGCGACTACTGCAGAGAACACTACACAGATTTAGCCAAGATTTCGAATGATGAGGAACAGAATAATGTCAATTCAGCAAAACTACAATATTATATTGTAGTTTGGATTGGTTTGTACAGAGTGCCGTGGACTTGGTCTGACAAGTCACAAAGCTCC